CACCTGGAGGCGCGCGAGGCACAGAGAGGCGGGCGGAGTCACTTGCCAGGGGGGGCCTCAGAGCAGGCATCGCCACCCAGGCAGTTAGGTTGTGGACTTGAGGCCTTGGCCCCCACCCTATTTTATACACGTGTTGCAGCGTGTGCTCGCTTCAGCCCTGGGAGTGGGGGCCCAGCAGGCTTCCCCTCGATTTACAGATGCGGTAACCCAGGGCCTGAGAGGCCACGTGTCTTGCCCAAGGCTCCCAGCCTCCCCTGTCGCTCCCCTGGGGACAGTGGCTGCTGAGAACCTGGGGCAGGAAGGACAAATGGCATCCCCGGAGACCTCTTCGGGGGGGCCCGGTGGCTCGTCCTTCCCACCTGCCCGGGAGGCCTGGAGAGTGAGGGGAAGGATGGGCCCTTGCTTTTAAAAGGCCTCTTCCCTTCAGGCTCAGCAAGGCTCACCTCCCCAGCTGGACCTCATCTGCAGGAATAAACATCATCAAGGGCATGTTTAGTCTTCCACCGGGATTTACAATGTGCTGGGAAAGAAAAAATAAATCATTCATTCCAACTCGGGGTGATAGAGTGGTGCCAGAACTTCCCCAGCAGAGCCAGGAAACGTCCCTCTGCCTTCCAGGAGAAGAGGGGGGCCAAGCTGAGGCAGGCTGGGACCCGGAGGCATGAGATGTGGAGCCCGAGGGGGGTGGGGTGCGGTAAGCAGGAGGCAGAGGAGGGAACAGTGGGGTGTGACAGTCTGGACTGGAGTCGGGAGTCCCGATTCTCCAAACAGGCCTTGCTCTGGGGCTGTGGGACGCCTCTGAGGCAGAGCTCCTGGTCACTGGCCAAGCAGAGATTATGCCAGCCCACAGGGAGGCAGCCTACTGTAGCGGGAGGCATGGGCCTTGGGTCAGAGGGATCGGGATGGAATTCTCCACTCTGACGCATCCGAGTCATGTGTGGCTGTGTCTAAAAGCCATTTTGCTTTTCTCAGCCTCAGTTTCTTCAATTGGAAAATGCTTGTACAACTGAACCAAGTACCAAGTTACTACTCAGCTCCTGGCACGTGCTTGTCATCCGATAGATGACGGTACATGGGCGCCATCTTTATTAACGTAGATGGGGAAACACACAGAGGATGAGAAAGGGACCGCTCAAAACCCTTATAGAGTCGACCAGCTTCTGAATCATAGGAACTCACTGGGGCCCTGTTTTTATTCACCCTGATTATAAGGGACCACGGACTGGGTCTCAGAGAAGCCCTGGGTGCCAAGAGGGCTGAAATGAAGACCGGATCTCACGAGCTTTCACTGGAAAGAGTTTCCCTCCCTTAAACACTGCCTTCCTGTCTGATCGCCAAGCGAACTTCCTTCCATTTACCGAAACCACTATTTCCCCTTTGGCCTTGGCTGCCAGGAAGCTCAGCATTCAAGTTAGCCCTCAGCTACCATGAGCATCTCGTCCCCTGGCTTCAGGGACACTGGTTTTCCTCTTCCCATCTCTCTTTTTGATTTTAGTGACCCTGTGCCTGTGTTGGAATTCAGCTCTAATTCTCCGGAGAAACAGGCTGGGTGTGATTTATAAATAAGTAAGGCAGACTCAGGTAGGGACCACGGCAAAGCAAATTTCACCAATATGAACCCAGAAAGCGAGCTGCCTGGGTTCAAATCCTGGCTCTGCCACTTACTAGCCGTGTGACCTTTGGTCACGCTGCTTAATTTCTGTGCCCCCATGTCTCAAAACAAGGGTACCATGCCCATGATCTCCTAGGCCTTGTAGTGGGGAAAGCACAGTGACTGTGCAGCAGCCAGTACCGGACCTGTTCTAGGCTCAGTTCCGTGTCAGTGGCTGATGATGGTTGAATGCTCTCTCACCTTCCTTGTAAGAGTGATTTGAGGCAACTTGACCTTCAAGTGGTAACAGGCGGGGGCCCGCTAGCCACCAGCTCTGCCTCCCCCATTGGTGGACAAGAACTGTAATGCTGGAGGAAGGCAGGGCCCCCAGGGTCAGCTGGGTCACAGGCCACGTGCAGTGGGTCTGGGGCGAGCTCTGGCCGAGAGTCTGGGAGTCTGTGCCCTCGCCTGGCCCGGCCACCGGCTGGCTGGGTGCCCTCGCCCTGCACCCGTAGGACGGGGATTCACACGCCACCCTGAGAGGGAGGGCATGGTGAGGATCAGTCAAAGAATGAAAGTCAAGTGGCCGGCCTTGTACTCAGTATATGGTATGTGCTGAACCAACCGCAGGGATGCTGGTGATTCTAGTTACTATTATTGTTGTTCTGGCCACACCCACCCCTCTCAACACCTGCCTCCCCGTCTGCCAACATAACACAGTGCACAGCTGCCACAGAACAAGACCGTGTGGGAGAAGCTTCTAGAACATACCACGTGCACATAATAGGCGCTCCATAAACGGTAACTTTCACGGTCACAATCGACTGGCCCACCCCACAGCTATTCCCGGCTCCCTTCTCCTTTGTGCCTGTCTTTGGAGACCCCTTAAAGCCAGGGGTGCCTTTGCGACCCCATCTGGGGAAGGCTGTGGGAGGACTTACTTTGCCTTTGTCCCTTTCCCTTTCTTCTGGCTGCAGCAACACAGATGTTGTGCCTGGTGCTGTGGCAGCCGTCTTGTGACTGTGAGGTGAGTGCTGTCACATAGTGAATGGCACGCACGGTCTTTGAGACTCCAAACCCGGCTTCTGGTTACGTCGATGGCAGACGTCTTTCGGGTTTAAGCCACAGTAAGCCTGCTTTTCTATTCCTTAAAGCTGAGTGCCTTCCCTGTGACACAAATGTTTTTGCTGACAGTCCCCTGCCTGGGCCTCATGGCATGATCTAGTACCTGCTGAGGTGCCTAAGAACAAGGACAACCATGCCAAGCGCTGTGCTGGGTTTTACCAGAGTCATCTCACTGCTCACCAGAACCTTGGGAGTTGAATGTATTATCGTCCTTAGTTCCCCAGTTTGCAGAAGGCGAGACGGGCACAGGGGCAAGCGGCTCGCCCACCGCCCCGCAGCTACAAAGTGCTGGGGCACAGCTACCGCATTCAGGCCCTGCAGCAACTCTGCCCGAGACGGGAGATCGCAGGGACCGGAGGCCTGAGAGGCTGCCAGGCACCTCCTGGGTTAGTCTGGGACAACTCAGAGGGCCCCTGTCTCTCGCCCACCCCCGGGGCCCATCCCCGCCCAGCGGGGACCCGGGAGGCTGCTTACCTGGCCCATGTTGAAGTAGAAGAGGGCTCCAGCGGTCACCTGAGCGATGAGGATCAGGAGGAGGAAGGCAAAGTACTGGGGGACACAGAGCAGCACGGAGTCAGCCGGGCACCGCTACCAGGCGCTCCCCACCCTGCCCCCCTCGGCGGGCCAGCCGCACTCACCAGCCCCAGCAGGCAGCGGACCTCCTTGATGGCACCGATGCAGCCCAGGAAGCCCATGAACATGGTGACAGCCCCCACGCCGATGAAGACGGAGGCCCCCACCTTGAGCGAGCTGGAGGAGGTCTCTGGGGATGGAAAGAGGGGCGTTGAGTGCAACCCGGGGGCGGCTCACCCTCTTGAAGCGCACCACCGTCCGTGTCCGTCCGGAGCAAAGCCCGCAGGTCTGGGCCCGCTCCTAACCGCCCCACCCTGGAGTCAGAGTGCTGGGGTCAGCCCCCACCCAAGGACCCACTCCCTCCCCGCTTTGGGAGCTGCCTCCCTTGGATGTCCACGCCCCCTCATCGGTCCTAATCCCCAGCCCTGCTTTGATGCTCTCCTGGGCACTTAGGATTGCAAAGACTATGTTTTACTGATGTATCCTGCTGCTGGCCTACTGGCTCCGCGAAGGGGTGAGCCGGATGAGGGCAGGGGCTTTGGTCCCCGCTGAACCCCCAGCTCCCCGAATACTGTCTAGTGCAGCAAAGAGCTACCTGAATGAATATCTGCTGAGTTAATGAACCGCAGATGGGCAGGTTCTGCTGGGGCCACAGACACGGAAGGCCTGCTTTCCTCCTTGTCCCTGTCATAATAAACCCCAGCCTCTCCGGCCCACTCACTGCCCTCCAGAGCCTCACGCACACCGTCTCTAGCTCCGACGTCATCCTGCCTGGTAGGCTGGGGCACAGCCACCTCACAGAGGCTCAGAGAGGCCTAGGGGCAAGCGCCGAGCTGGGGTGTGGAAAGCTGCACGCCCCCAAAATCCCACGCTCTTTCCCCTGACGCATGGGGCACGCGTGCTGACGTAGGCGTGATGCTAGTTCATTCACTCAGCCAACAAATCTCCCAGGTGCCCGCCGCGTGCCAGACGTTGTGCTGGGCTGCTGGGGGTACAGACTGATGAGGTCCCGACACCGAGGAGCTGACCTCCAGTGGGCTGGGGCGTGGGGGGCCACAGGTAAACAGTACAGATCTCTGGTTTGGGGGCAGGCCAAGAAGCCACGGAGGCCGGCTCAGGTAGAGAACCACGGGGCAGGGAGTGGGTTGGCTGGGTCGGGGAGGCCGGTCTGAGCAGCTGACGTGTGAGCTGAGACCAGGATGGAGAAGTGCCCTGGTGAAGACCTGAGGGGAAGGCATTCCAGGCCGTGGGAACAGCAAGGAGGAAGCAGTGGGCCTGATGTATTTGAAGAAGGAGAGACAGAAGGCGAGGGTGTGAGTCTGGCGGTAATATGCGTGAGGCAGAGCGAGAAGGGCCTGATGGCATGAGACCCTCTTCAGGGAAAGAAGACCCTCTTCTTTCCCAAGAAGCCCATCACATCACTCGTGACAACAGGGCACAGCTCCTGCCCACCTCCAGCCTGCCGGCCTGGGATGCGCTCTACCCGGAGGCCGTCACGCGCCTCCCATTGGCAGGGGCTGCGGACTCCTCCCACGACAGCCCCTGCAACTCTCAGGGAGACAGCCGGGACAGGATGTTTCCAGAAACCTGGTGGGCAGCCTGGAGTGTATTAGTGTGGGTTCCTGGGTCTATCACAACTAACAGACTTCCCTGGGGACCACCTGGAATCTGGAAGTTTAACCTGCTCTCCTAATGACTCAGCCTTGGCCAGGGCTGACACAAGTGACCGTCAGCAGGGAGAACACTGGCCGGCTCTCTGGGGGGCCTCGGAGAAGCTGAGGTCCCCACCCTGGCCACCGAGGGGGTGTTAGTGCCCTTAAGAAAAAACTACAAAGCCGAAATGTGGGTGGATAGGAGGGCCTGATTCAGTTCCACTTCCTGGTCACAGACAGAGTGTTCTGGAGCTCCGGAAAAGCCCTGGACAGCCCACTCCATTCTCGGGGTGCCAAGGCTGGGCTGCCTCCACCCAGTTCCTCACAGAAGCCCCCAGGCAGGCGGGCAGTGCCCCCTGCTGTGGTGAGTGTAGGGGGCTCCGGGCACTGAGCCAGTTTTCATTCCAGGCTCTCGGCAATCGGCACAGGCAGGGGGGAGGCCGTCAAGTGTCACTTTCTCTAAGCTTCCCGGGTTTGGGTTCCTCCCAGGGACACCTCCCAGAAAAAAGACACTGGCACTGCCTAGAATCCACTGTGTGCCAGCCAGAACAAGGCCCTTTATCCGAATCATCTGCTTAATTTCCACAACAGCCCAATGAGGGTAGATTTACATCCCGATTTGTCCCTACGAGCCTTGAAGCCCAGTGAGGCTAACAGGCGACCCAGGTGCCCTGGGCTGAGACCCCAACTCGGGTTCTCCCCCAGGAGGCCAGCCCAGATGTGGGGTCTCGGTTTCTCAGAACAGTTAGTGGACATCAGTCCCTGACCTCACCCACGGTCTCAGGCTGGCCCTGGTCTCAGCATCTTGACTTAGGAAGGGGACAAGTGGACATTCTGGGGTGGCCCTCCACTGTGCACAGCAGAAACACCTTGGTCTCACCAGGCCTGGCAGCTACCAGTGAGGTAGGAAGGGACCCAGACCGAAAGGGACTGGGGCTCAAATCCCAGCTCTGCTGCTAACGGGCTCAGCCTGGGCAAGCCGTTCTCTGGCCTCTATTTCTTGCTCTGTGAAATGGAACGAAATCCTACTTCTTAAAGATGTTGTTATAAATGTAATCACTTGTGTAGGGTTTACTTTTCACCAGGAGCTGTTCTAAATGCTTTTCATGTATGAACTCACTGCATTTCTCACCATAACCTTGCAGTATATTCTATTATCCCCATTTTCCAGATAAAGAGGCACAGAGAGGTGAGGTAACTTGCCCAGGATTACCCAGCTGGTAAGTAAGCAGCAGAGACAGGATTCAAACCATGGCAGCCCAGCTCCAGAGTCTGTGCCCCTAACCACTGCACTTGCTTCCTCTCGTTAAGGCATGAATGTGTGGGACCCTGCAGGACAGGGGCTTGGGGCTCCGGGAGCTCAGGACCCACGCCACCTGGTTCATATCCCAGCTCTGCCTCCTAGCTGTGTGTCCTTGGACAAGTCACTTCCCCTTCCTGTGCCTCAGTTTCCCCCACTGTAAGATGTAACGCCTCGCCCCGTGGACCCACGGTTAGGTAAGGGAAGAGCTATGTCATGCACGCCAGGGACACAGGTCCCAGCTCTGAGCCTCACTTTGTGTGTGATTCTTAGTAAGTCTTTTTCCTCTGGTAGGTTAGTGTTTACAAGCCCTGGCTGGGGAAGCACCTGGGGAGCTTTTTCAAAACCATAGTACTCCAGGCCCCCACCCACACATCAATGGAGTCAGATCCCTGGGGGCCCTTGTATTTGTGAAAACATTCCAGGTGCCCCTAGGGGACCTCTAAATTCTGGCAGCTCCAGAGTCTGAGAACTGATATGGGAGGAGGCGGGAGAAGCGGCAGGAGGTTCCTGGAGCCTGGGGCCTGGGGCAAGGTGCAGAGGGCAGGGATGCAGTGGGCAAGCCGGACCTTAGACTCTGCCCCATGGCGTAGTGCCTGCTGGGTGTAGGCCACGGCCAGGAAGTGGGGAGCCTGGGCCTCATCAGGGCCCATGGAGGGTGGGCACGGGGAGCGTGGGTACCCCGCTGGGGCGGGAAATGCAGACCCTAGCCCCAGAATGGGGGTACAGTCTGCAGCCCCTCAGGAAGAGGCCAGACTACCAGCCCCAGGCCACATCGGATGTGGCTGGAGGGTGGATGTCCTTGCTTCCTTTCAGGTCTGAGGGGCGGCCTAGCCCCCTGGGGCCACAGTGACAGGTGTGGCCTCTCCATCACCCATCCTAGCCTGGTTCCGCTTTATTCAAATCAAGCAGCTGTCACGGGCCTGAGTCCAAACCTGCGGCCTCAGCAGCAGCTGGGAGGGAAGCGGGCCAAGGATGCACTCACTGATGGGAGTGGCATCCCTGTGCTACTCGGGGGCCCTCGGCCGTGCCTCCCTTCCACCTCAGGGCAGCCATGAGATCAGTGCAGCAAGCCTGGAAGGCTTCCTGGAGGAGGCTGTGTGTGTGTGTGTGTGTGTGTGTGTGTGTGTGTAGACCTGGAAGGGCTCTTGTCAGCGGTGCAAGAGTGCCTTGGGCTTCTTTCCTCCTGCTTCAAGAGTGAGAGAAGGGGGGGCGCCTGGGTGGCGCAGTCGGTTAAGCGTCTGACTTCAGCCAGGTCACGATCTCGCGGTCCGTGAGTTCGAGCCCCGCGTCAGGCTCTGGGCTGATGGCCCGGAGCCTGGAGCCTGCTTCCGATTCTGTGTCTCCCTCTCTCTCTGCCCCTCCCCCGTTCATGCTCTGTTTCTCTCTGTCCCAAAAATAAAAAATAAAAAAAAAAAACAAACGTTGAAGAGTGAGAGAAGGGGCCTCCCTGCTGTGGTTCCCCTACCATGGGCAGCATACAGGACCAAAGCTCTCGGGGTTCGAATCTCACACCTGTCACTCGAAGCTAAGTGAACTTGAGCCAGGGACATCACTCCTCTGAGCCTCCTTTCTTCATTTGTAAGGCAGGAACAGAAGAGTCCCTACCTCACGGGGCTCTTGAGGGACTAAGGCAATTGTCATGTGTAAAACGTTTGGCCCCATGCCTGGCGCATAAGGAACACAAACAGTGGTTGCTGTGCCCGGTGGTTTCCTCCTCAGCCCACAGGCCCCATGAGTCTGACTGGCACCAGGTACATAGTAGGCACGTCACCAACTCCTGACAATCCGTCTTTCCCGGCCTTTCCTCCATCTACCTAAACTGACTGGGGAGGGACTGTTGCCCACATTTTGCTGAGCCGGCAAATGGAGGGAAGGAGAATATAAGAGGCTTTCTCAAGGTCAGGGCTGAGGGAAGGGCCGGGAATGGGAGAGCAAGCCTCCCTCAACCCCCCACTGTTTTCCAGACAACAGCAGCTTTGTTTAGGGAGGGAGAGAAAATTCCTTCTGAAAACCCCTGCAGAGGGGGCCCAGGGCAGAGTGCTCAGCACAGGACTTGGGCCAGGCCCTGAGGGCAGCTGGAAGAGGGACCAGCTTTGAGGCTCAAGTCCTCGTGCGGTGCGGTGCGGTGCGGTGGCCCTGCCTGCTGCCCCGGACGGCCACTCCAGAACCAGCTGGGCAGGGGGATCAGAGGGGTCCTTACGCAGCACAGAGATGAAACTGCTCCTGTCGGCCAGGATCCACACCCCGAAACCCAGGATCACCGCGCCCAGGATCTGGAAAGAGAGGGTGCGGTCAATGGGGGCCTCTGAGGGCCCCGCGGGCTGCCCCTGCAGCCAGGCCAGGAGGACACGGCGGGGGGAAGGGGGGGCACCACCTCCATCCCCAGCCCAGCCCAGGGATTTCCGGGTGGCCTCAGGCCCTGTACCCCAAGTCCCGGTGCACCCCAGCCATCCAGACAGCAGGGCCTGCCTCCAGTCTCCCCCACCGCAGGCCCATGGGTGGTTAAACCAAGTCAATCAGCCTCCCCCCAGGGATGCCCTCCTGCTTTACCTCCTGGCTCTTCCCCAAGGCCATCCCCCTCCCTCCCCCAGCCTATCTCAGGGGCCACAAACATCCCGAACCACCTCTGGGGAAAACCCTGCACGGACTTGAACATCAAGGCCCACTTGCCACTTGCCCCTCAGAGCTCGGCTTCCACAGGAGCCCTCCTGACTCCCCCAGGCCGGCCAAGGGGCCCCTACTCTGTGGCAACCACTCCTGCACCCCTCTCAACAGCCATTCCCGCTGGCTTTATTTTCTTTTATTTTTTCAACGTTAACTTACTTATTTTGAGAGACAGAAAGTGTGCCTACACACGAGAGTGGGGGAAGGGCAAAGAGAGAGGGAGAGAGAGAATCTCAGACAGGCTCCACACTGTCAGCAGACTCCCAGCTGAACCCCACAAACCCGTGAGATCATGACCTGAGCGGAAATCTCTAGATGGAAGTTCAAACCAGCGGACTGAGCCACCCAGGCGCCCCTCCTACTGGCTTTAACCAGCTGTGTGTCCTTCTCAGGCTACATGGTGAGCTCCCCGAGGGCAGGGCCGGGCTGTGTGCAGCTCTGTATCCCCAGGGTGCCTATCTCACCAGGTGCTGAGTGCTCAGGAAATGAACGAGATCCGGAACCCACTGTAAAGGCAGGAATAGAAAGGTAAACCTGGGGTGAATGGGTGGCATAGGCCCAGGGATTCCTTGCCTCACACCAGGGTGGCCCCCAACCTGAGCCTACTCCCCAGGTGGGACCCCAGAGGAGGCTCATATCCCCCCAAGCCAGCAAAGGCTGGGGAAGTGCCTGTAGCCAGGGCAAGAGCACAGGTTCCCTTTGGGAGCAGAGGACCCTGCATCACCCCACAATACTGGCCTTCACCTGGGGTCTGGCCTGAGCCCACCTGAGGGTCCTAGCATGCCACCTCCCGCCTCCATCACAGGCCCTGGGCTCCCCGCTCAGCCATCAGGTCCTAAGCTGCGAGGCCAGCAGCTGCTGATTGAGCCTCAGCGTGGGGTGAGCACTCCAGCCCACGGGGCTTGAACAGCCTTGCTGTGCTGTCATTAAAGCAGGAGCCAGGACCACAGTAAGGAAAACGGGGTGCTTGCCTTGGGCATAAAAATTAAGAGGACACACACACACACACACACACACACACACACACACACACAGCCCAAGATAAGAATTTGCAGCAATTACTTTTAAAAACCAAAATTCATTTTAAAAATCTATGATGAATGAATGGGGCGCCTGGGTGGCTCAGTCGGTTGAGCGTCTGACTTCAGCTCAGGTCATGATCTCGTGCTCCGTGAGTTTGAGCCCCGCAACGGGCTCTGTGCTGACAGCTCGGAGCCTGGAGCCTGTTTCAGATTCTGTCTCCCTCTCTCTCTGACCCTCCCCCCGTTCATGCTCTGTCTCTGTCTCAAAAATAAATAAACGTTAAAAAAAAAATTAAAAAAAAATAAAAATCTATGATGAACAAAATATCAAACTTTTAAATAAAGGCAGGATCGGTACCAGTGATGTTTTTCCTTCTGAAAAGAGTGGAGCCCTGAGAGGGCACAGCGTGGGGCTATTTCTCGTCCCCAAGTGAGTGCCTCACGCACCTTGCCCTAGTCTTGACCCCCTTAGAGACAGTAGCAGCTGATGGCAACCCTACATTTGTCCCCCACTGTCTCCCAGCAGGTCATGGGTCCCCTCCTCCCTCCTTGCCAGATGGGCCCTGTTACTGTCATTTTGCAGATGGGGAAACTGATGCCCCGATTTGCCAGAGGTCGCCCATTCCTCCCATCAGGGGCTGAAAGCCAGGTCTATTACTCTAGGTCAGATGGTGGCCTCAGCAGGGATACCCGGGGTCTGTCCTGGGTCTTCACCTGGAAAGCCAGCCTCTGGGGACAGTGAGGCTACTGGGACCCTGCTGAGCCGGAGGGTTCGAGTCAGGTGGGGGTGCCTCGGACTATATAGCCTGCTGGGAGGAAGCAGGACTTTACAGAACTTGGGAGTTCGATTCCCAAAGACTCCTGAGGCCCTGCCCACCCCAACTCTGCCCCTCACAGCACAGCTGGCCGATGGCCAGGCGTCAGGCCCACAGTCTGCTCCTGTGACTTGCTCACTCCCTACACTCACGGGGCAGGGCAGAAAACTCCCTGTGGGCAAACATAATCCCAAGTAGGTCAAAATCCAGGACTTCCCAGCTAACTTCCTCGGCTCGCCTCAAGACACCCAAAAAGGAAGTCCCCGGCACTCATCCTTCAGCCCCATGTGGGTCTGATGTGCAAAGACTGACATCTGTGTGGCCGGACCAGCCGCCAGGCTGTGAGTCAGCCAGGAACAGCCCCAGCCAGGCAGCCAACCAGAATGGGGGAGGCACCCTGGCACTCTCTTTCTCTGTGAACCAAGGCTGAGACCATGGGGCACCCCCACCTTAACCGACAACGCCCAGCCCCCCAGGTCCACCAGGATCTCCCCTCAGGGCTCAGCCGGGAGCCAGGACCCTTACAGCAACGGCTTCCCCCAGAAGAGTACGGCATCAGCAAGCGGCTTCCGGGTTTCTGTGAACCTAAGAAAAGCTGACTGGGCAATTTTCTGGGAAGCCCGGGGTCAGCAGGGAGCGTAGGCAAGGATGAACACGTGTACACGTATGCATATGCGAACACACACAGCAGCCAGAGCGACTCTTCCAAACCACAAGTCTGATCACGTAACTGCTTCCCACCATGCACCAAATAAAACCAGAATCCTTCCTGGAAGGCTTGCAAGGCCCGCACCCCGGAAAGCCCCACTCTGCCCCCCGCCCC